TATATGAGAGTGTGTAGGTGTGGGTGTGGGTGTTTGTTTTTGTGTGTTTGTGTTTGTGTTTTATGTATAAAGCATATAAAAATGTCTACGTAAGCATATAATTGAATAAGTTCATGTGTGCATATATGTACCCCTTTGCTCCATGATAAACTATTATCCTGATCGGAGACTTTCTATGTAACTCATAGTTGTGTGCTCAATATGTCCTCTCTGTTTGTTGATACAGAATACAAAAGGGGAGAAGTTGAGTGATGATGTTTTGGAAGCGAACGCTAGGATATATGCCAAAGAATATGGCAACGACGATGGGTATGTTTTACGTCTCTATGGCTGGGCCTCCGCAGCCTGTACATACACATCGTATTGCTGTTTGCTCTCATTGTGAGAGAATATCTGCATATGTATGTGCACACGTGATCCTATACACATGCACACTTCTGTAGACTTAAAGCGTACGAACCAATCTGCGGCGATGGAAGTGCTCGTTTAATGATACAGAAGCTCTGTAGCTATCTCTATATACCCCCTTGAGGTACACGCGCACAAGTCAGTAAACGGAGCCAAGTTATCTGTGTGTGGGCCGCGACCACTTAGTGGCACAGCGTGTACTTCGTACTACTGATGCATATACCCTCTCAGGAGACTCGGTAGCAGATTATGTTTCATGAACATTGGTTTACGTTTTACATGCGAAGTTTGCCCACTCACACACTCCTAGCTATAGCGTTCAACCTGGGCGAGTATTGATCCCGCACGGCTTATCAACATCCATCCATACATACTCTGTAGGCTCCTTATCGATGCATGCCCAGTCTCACACAAAGAGTCCAAATTATAGGGTCATGTCGATCTACAGAGATATAAATATTGAAGATAACTCTACCCGTATTTCCTACCAAATTCGGTAACGGCTTTGATACCTTCTGTTTCATGATGCTCGGCATACCACTGATCGGTGGGTGCACGATACAACGTACTGTGAATATCTTGTTGTTAAAAACAATCCGGCCATCACAGTAAGACCTTGGTCTGGGTCATCTGGGGTAATATCCACTCATGTGTCTGTGTTTGCTTCACTTACAAGATGTCTGATGGTTTGCATGTTGATGTTTCTGTATTTGCTTCACTTGCGCACCGCCTTTGTTTTCATACAAGATGTCTGAAGGTTTGCATGTCCAGCCCGCACTGTCATTCAAATCTTCGACAGGAGATTTTCCCATAGAATCACAGTCGACTACTAAATCTCTCTATGAGTATCCGCTTGATGGTCTTGTATATACGTTGTATTGGTACCTGCACAGGACCATCCCGGCAAGCTTTGATATAATTTATTTTATAGGATGGACGCCTGACCCTACTCAACAAAAGCCGATGAAGCCGGTATGTTTCTGGTTGACATAGTACACTTGGTCAACTAGATACATATTCCGAGCTACACCGGATATTTGTGGCCTTTGTTCCGTTGTTGTGGATGGCGCTAATTTTACACGTGCGAATCGGGTATAAATTTATATGTTTATATATGTATATATGAATAAATGTATAAATATATATATATGTATAAATATATATGTATGTATGTATATATATATATATATATATCAATATATATATATATATATAGAACTCTTGCACACCGTGGGATACTTGTTCTCGGAGTATTGACATCTCTTAGTTTTAGCACCACGTTATGATTATTCGTGTTTGTGAGTAGTGAAGAGCAGGAGAGTGATGTGTCGATGTGCTGTTTTTGGCCATCTTCTCGTAAAGTACACTTAAATGGACAATTGTTCGTTTCCAAGCTTCCGATGTGAATTGTTGAGAGTGTGTGGACCTCCTGATATGTACCTGTGTTATCCAGGCTCGTGAGATATATAGATACTGATCATCTTGGTTTGTTGAGGTGCGTTGAAATAGTTATGCATGTATTAGGATGTGGTTCTTAGTTCAGGCCCAGAGCAAGCTGGTCCTGTGTATACGACAATGTACGACTCGGAAGCCCTATTACGAATCTATTGTGTGCACTCATCATTTTCATCCGCCCCTTATATGCATTAGATAAAAATTTTAATCTTAAGATTGTTTTGTGTAGTCAGAACCGATGCACCACTACCCGAGATTAATTGTTCCACTCGACCATCTTAACGCGAACATTTAAGCTGCTCGCTGTTCTACTGACTTACCTACAAATCTCAACCCGATTGTCTTTATCATATAGGGATCGGCTGATATCAATCTAATGGAATTCGGCGATGTCAATACCGTATAATATAATGTAAACAAAGCGTCAACCCACCTTCCCGAGCTAATCAGCTATCGAGGCGATCAAATGTAGCGTGGCACTACGTAATTAGGTATTTTAAAAATCTTATTTCTGAGATACCGTGGTCTGTTTATAGCCAACGATAATTAACTGTTTACGAAAGCAACAGTCCATATTCGAATATATTCAATAATGTCAGTGGAGGTCGAATGGTCGAATGGTCCATATGTGTACGAGAACCGCAGCTCGACATAGACGTATACGCCGGTCACAACAGCATGATCAGGAAAGCACGACCACTCTAGTGACAGACACTTGTTGAGACTGCACTAGCAGAACCTATACTTCAGTGTGTGGCACTGGTTGAGAAAGATCTGACCCAATACGCCTCTTCGTGAGACCGCCGATGATTTTGAGGAGATACGCTTTGATCCCAGCAGGGAAGAATTTGCTTACTAGCGTACTCGATGGAATTATTTGTCATTGTTACTAGCAATTCACCGCTTTGTACACTTTTGTTGCGTAAAGTGCCAGGGAGACTACTGAAGTTCAGTTGAAGATTGCATGAACTATTCCTGACTTATCAGTATTGGCGGACTGATTCATAAATGATTGTAGTTGGTGACAGGATATGGTGTGGGATGTCGAGTAGATGATCACGATCGAAAATCTGATCCATGTTTTCAGTTGAATATAATTGCGATTATACTTGGTAGTGTTCAATTTTCAGAAGGCTATGCTATGTTGGTAGTTAAATTCTGAATTATGTTACTCTGCATCTTTCTAATGGTAAAGCACAATACGCGTATCTGTATACAAATATTTACTCTCTCTACTAGAGTAGAGTCACGCAACCATACCATATCTTTCTCAAATATACAGAGCAGGCTAAATATGAAAATACATATTCAAATATGCGCTGCTAAAAGTGTTTTTTTTAAATAGATATTTTGAAATTTGTAAAGAAGAAAACCGATTTTTTTACAAAATAAATACTGTACACTACTGTTTTTTTATAAATATGCATAAATCTTCTTGTTTTACTTTTACAAAAAAAACGTTTTTTTATAAATGTACGCACACAAAAAGACACAGAAACGCTAAAATTGTATTTTATTTTTACAAAGTCCCTTCATCGTCTTCTGATTAAAAAGTTAAATATACCACAAGAATTACTACTAGATTAATGCGCCCTCGCTCCTAATTTTATAAAAAAAGCATACCTCTCACTCTCTCATAGAGTCATAGACTCATTTATTTAGTACTAGTAGAGTGAAGAAGAGGAAGAGAGTATAAAAGCGTGTTTTGTTATAAAAATAGTTATACAAGAAGAAAAAAAGAAGGCTAAATATATTAATACGATCGTTTGGTTGTTACAATTAAAAATTTGTCCCAATCATGAGTATGAATGTATGTGCATAAAAGTATTTTATTGTTTTCTATTAAAAACAAAAACTAGTATCTGTAATTCTGTACTGACAATATATGTCTATTACATTTACTTGTATTTTTATAAAAAAACAAAACTGTAATACATACAATGATTTCAACAATTTGCCTTCAATGATAGCCTTCAACAATGACATCCCAGTCACGGTAAAAGTGTATTTAAGGTTGAACAAACTTTGCAAACATATTATTTTCTCAACAATGCATAACATGCAGCAACCCAATGGTAACGATAGCTTCGAGTCCGAAAAGGTCGAGCTAATAAATTATGGAATAGTCACTAATGCACATATAGAAGCAGACAAAGTTTTTGCATCACGTCATGGTCGGTTAAACTGGTCAGCAGTGGAAAGGCCGTTATCTGCAGACTCTGCTAATCGCAAGGTGGTTGTACCCATAGTGACACACTGCAACAAACTGAAACCCGCAAAGCATGTGTCTTTAACGAGGCGACTTTCGCAACAGGTGGACCAACCACTTGAGATTGTCAACTGTAATGTAAAGCAACTTCAGGTAAAGTCAGTAGGAAAACGGCTAACGCAGAAGTTGTTTTCCCTATCTAAAACGACACATCACGAAAAGGAAGAACTCTTGATTAAAAAAATGTCGTTCAGGCAATGGCTTTCGCGAAATCGGTTTTTTAAAACAGCCTAATTAGTGGCGCGACAAATGGGAATATACTCCGAAAATGCTCTGGGTGACAAATGGCCACGTTTAATTTGACTGTGGATCGTTACATCGATCAGCTTCTACGGCTGTTGATGATGAACGTTTAAGGATAATGTACAGAAGCCTGCCAGTGCCATATTTTCATATTGCATACAACGCGGTACCGGTTCGACATAGTGCATGTTAATTTATATTACATGTGTTGTTATACCCGAGTGAGCAAAACAATGAGAAATTGTTACGGGGCGGCCAGTTTTAGACCACGGTAATTTTAAGCTTGGCTACTTCATGATAACATAAGACGGGAAACTCTGTAGTCACGTACATATTATTACATCAAATGTATGCGGCAATTGTGGAAATTTAAATTAGTACAGCTAACAACTACATTGAAGACTGAGTGACATCCACAAAGCATGGTTCACGATAGTACACATATATCACAGCCTAGTTGGTCAAAGCCAGGGAGAGATACAATTTTTAATTCTCATATTATTTAATAAATAACTTTTTGAAGCAATGATACAGGGGTTGTGTGCCTGGAGCTTACATTTGTATACAAATATGCGTATTGTTCTTTACTATTAGAAAGGTGAAAAGAGTAACATAATTTAGAATTGGACTACCAAGTATACTAGCAAGTATATTCAACTGAAAACACGGATCAGATTTTCGATCGCGATCATCTACTCATCACCATACACCATAAGTCCATATCCTGTCACCAATTCCAATATTTTCAATCATTTATGTTTCAGTCCGCCAAACACAAGAACTTCAAGAAGTCAACAACGTAAAAACATTTTTGGCGAGTACTTTTACTTTCAAGAAATATTAGTTTTTAGGTCGCCTGTGTTTTGTATATTTATTTAAATCTGACAGAGAAAAAAAAGGTTTTTACTTGTATTTATTGTAAACCATTTTGTATTTTTTGTAAATATTTGTTCAACAAAATCCTTCAGGGTGGGATGGATATAAATACGTCGCTCATTGGTGAATTTGATTTTGTTGCCGGTGCAAACTTTCCAAAATCACCTTTAAATTCTACAGAAAGATATAAATATTTTTTAGTATTTAGAGTGAACTTTGAAACAACGCCATGTGGATGTGCGGTCAGCGTCACTCAGGTTTTTACTCTTTTTAAAAAACAAATTACATCCCGCTCTCTTCAAAATTCCGACTTCAATATCGACCATCTTAGTGGAGAGTCAGAGTCTCAGAGACCTGGTCACCTGAGGGCTAGAGGACGGCTGAGGCTGACCGCCTGCACTGCATTTATTTTTTTAAATTATTCGTTTTTTCAAGGTCGCGGCGCTTGGCCTTCCACCTTCCGGATTGGCGGGTTGGGCCTTCACAGTTCACTCTTTAATCTTCATGCCTTCTATTTTTAACAATAGCTGAGAAAAAGGAATATGTATATTTTTGTTTTTGTTTTTTGTTTTTTTTTAAATTTAAAAAGCAAAGTATTATATTTATACATATTACAAAACCAAAAAAAAAATTATCCAAATTCACTGAAAGAGTAGTTGTGGAATCCCTATTCCTTTTAGGCGGTTCGGATGTGCTACTTTGGTTTAGAGACATTTGGTGGTCCAAAATCGAGGGGGGGGTGGGACTAACGACAAACAACTTCGACCTGTGCCAACGTGTGGATCAATCAGAACCCATAGAATGGTACGTCATTAGTACGTTTTTTTTGCTTGGAACCTGCTCACGCCGAAAATTCTTCACTGCCAATAGCTACACAAGGAGCACAGTCATAACTTCACAAATATATATGCGTATGTTGAATATTTAAGTCAATATTGAACCAAATATCTGAAAAATGCACGCAAATTTATAAGTCTTTAAATTGACGAAAGTCCAAAATCCAAGGGGGAGGTCTCTAAACCAAAGTAGCACATCCAAACCGCCTTATCACCGAAAGCGTAGCTGTAGAATGTATACTGTATAGTGTATACTGTATTGACTCTAAAGTCCCTATTTCTTTTATTGAACTCGAAATCTGTCCGGAACGCTTCTTTGTCTGGAACGCTTTTTTTTCATTTGGAGACCCCCAAGAGGCCCTGGACGGATCCTATATAGATTTGTTTTTTTTTTAATAAATAGAGCATACTCCTGTTTTTGATTCAAAAGGCTATAAAAGTAAACCCCACTCCCAAAGCAAGAAAGTCTTCTTTTTTCACGGCTTTTTGGATCTGGATGGTTTCTCTCTACAATTGAGTCTATTAGAGTAACCCAGGTGTCCATTATGTCTGCTTCTGAGATAAATGTTTCTCTATGGTTCTTAACCTTGGCTACTCCATCTACCATTTTGTGCTCCGTTGTCGTATTATTGGCGTGGGCCGGTCTCATTGCAGTCTTTATTGATGATAATTTCACAAATTTACCTTGTTTCAACTTTTCCTTTATCGGGTCCGGTAAAATTGTCAGGAGAGCGTAGAGTCGATTCGGTATCTACCATAGTCTTGATTTTCTTCGTCTGTAGGGATAATATTATATATTTCAAAAATGGGTAGTTTTCAATGCCATTAATTCCGAGGCGTGTGCTTCGTCTCGTTCCGTTTGTGCCTGTCCTCGTAGTCTATCTCGTTCAGCTTGTTCTTTCTCCCGTAGTCTATCTCGCTCAGTTTGTTCTTAATCTCTCAGTTTTCCTTGCTCGATTAGAATTTGAAGTTGTTGTTCGTGTTTCAGAGCCATAACTTCCAGGTTAGCGGCGAATTCGGACTGTTCGCCTGTAGCACCGTCGTTCAATTGCTTAGTCGTTGGTTCTTTAGTTCAATCTTCAGATGTCCCAGAACGTTTCCCTAAGTTGTTAATATCAGTTTTTGTCGTGTTAGTAGTAGTTTCTTCTGTTGGAACTGATATCGTGTAGTTTATTTCTTCTTTCTGGGGATTCTGGGGTTTGTATCTGAGAAGTGATGTCTCTCACTCATCATTATAGTCCCTATATATTCGGCCGGGGTCTCATTTTTGATTTTTGGTCCGGCTTGTAGGACTGGGTCTTGTGTTCGGAATATTTCTATAAAAAACCCCCTAGAAGACTTGTCCGGCACTTTTAGAGTTATTCAAAACATTCTGCTTTTCATTGTACTATTTGAAAATTTATCAGAATCAAAATCCAGAGGGCCGTGTTTTTTTAATATTATTATTATTTGCACGAGCATGAGGATAGGTAAGAGTGGCTCTCAGGTGAAGGTGTCGGTGGTGCATGTGTCGTTGTTCCAGATGAAAAATTCGTCTTCAAAAAGGGTAACGTCGCGGCTGATGGCAACAGTTTTTGTAGTAGGGTTGTATATCCTAAATGGGTCTGTTGTGCTGTTCATGGGTTGGACGATCATGATGCCTAGATGTCCGCTGTTTGTAAGTGGTGTGATATTGGCTCTGTTTTTGTATATAACTTTACAGCCGAATACGCGGAATCGTGAGTAGAGTGGTGCTTATTGGGTGAGTTTTGTGAGGGGTATTGGGTTGTCTTGGTGTAATGATATTCTGTTGCGGATGTTTGCTGCCTGTATTAGTACCTCGCACCAGAACGAAAGTGGCAGTAGTGCGTGTGCTAGCATTGCTCTTGCAATGTTCTTGGATGTTTGGTGTGCTCGTTCGATGAGTTCGTGGTCTGGTGTAGCGGTTGATGCGTAGCGTATCATGCATCCAAGATGGCAGAGTGCGTGTCGTACGGAGGCGCTGGTGAATTGTGGCCATTGGTCAAATTGTATCAATTGTACTCGTCGTCCCGATATAGTCTGTAGTTGGTGTAAAAATAGCGGGTTCCTATTAGTAGTTAGTTGCACAGTTAAAGTATCTATAAACGTATAAACTTATTAATGTTTATACCTATAATACTGGAATACGTTTAACGAAAATTCAAGATTCTTAACATGTGATAGTACTCAGTAGAGTTTGGGACTCTACTGTGCACAATCAAGTGGCTTTCCAAATATAGATTGGTTTTTCCACTGAAATTAGATTTGTACATAATATAGGAACGACACCAATCTGACACCTGAAAATAGCACTCTGGGAATCCCATGGCTCTCAGGCATGAAATGGTTGTCGGTATAAACCTATGGTATAATTCGATAATGATCTCAGAGCAAGATATTCCACTGAGAAAAGGACAGGATCAGAGTTGTTAGAAATTAGGACAACATGGTTTTGATTCCTTTTAGCCAGCCAGCCAGATGTGCCCGTCTATGCCTTAAATGAGATGGGGAGCTTGGTACCAAGTGATAGGGTTTAGGTGCGGATATATACTGCACCAGCTTGATTTTTTTTATTCTCTTTTTGATTTTCTTAAGTTGGACTTAAAGGTATTTTATTGGTTAGTTTCATTGGGTGATTGATTCGAGGCGTGAATGTAAACTATGCGTCCAATAAAATGATATCAAGTTTTAGTAACTAAATCATAAATAATTCTAGACCGAAGTAGTGAGTGATTAGAACGGAGCATATAGACAATAGTATCAGTCTACAATCGACTAATCTTTTGACATTACCAAGGGCTGAAGCTAAACTTATTGATCATTTTGTATTTTAATGTATTAACGTATTGTCTTATTAACGTAAACGTCTTGGTATCGTATAGTCAGCCTAGAAGAGACCGATTTTTACATTGGTCGAAAGGTAAGAGCAATTTTTTAATAATGATGTCAGCTGTAATGTTTTTCAGCAACGTTAAGATGCAGTGACGGTAGTTATCGTCGATCAGTGTCGTTATCGTCGATTAAAGGCGTAGCGTTCGTTGTGCATGGTTGATGTGTATGGGCCGATTATGTCGCTCAGGACTAGGTTCAGGGGATTGGTCGATGTCTTATTGTGTCTGCCATTGGAGGTAGGTTTGTTGCGTTTGTTTGCTTGGGTGCAATTGTCGCATGGGTTTAGGGTTTTATGGGACTTTTGAAGTATGTCCTGTAATTATCCGGGCCTCCACATTAGACTCTATGTATAAACGTACTCTTAAGCAGTACGCAAATTATAACCGTACTCTTAATAAAACGAGGAACTTATGTTTCCTAAATGTACTCTTAATAGTACGAGGACGTAAGTTTCTTAAATGTGCTCTTAATAGCACGAGGAACTTAAGTTTCCTAAAATGGTTTATAATGGTTTTATTAATTAAACCTTTTCCATTTAACCTATCAGATATTTGGATGAGGCCATTAAAAGACCTCAGTAAAATAGCAAACATAAAATAGTTGGTCTAGTTCTATTAATAGAGCTTTATTTACTTTCCAGTTTTATTTATATGTGAATACTTCGGTAGCGAGATAGCTCAACCGAATATAGGCTTCTAGGGACTATTAATGTTACCTAGTTGATCCTCTGATAAGCCAACCAGATGTGCCAGTCTGATGAAGGCTAAGTCGATAATTCTTGATAGTGGCAAATTATTGGTTAAGACAAAAACTGAAGACGTCAAGAGTGTTTTTATTTTATTTTATTTTTTCTAAAGATAGGATTTTATGAGCCTATCGGATTCGCCCCAGAAAAGAGCGACAACGAAACACTAAATAAAATCCCTGCGGA